ATACATATATATTTTATGTATATGTGTATTTTACACTTGTCATTTCAACATTTTTTGTCAATTCAATAGCAACAGTTACCATCGTGTTCTACAACTACCTTCATTGTCCCTTCCCAGTTAAGATGGATTCTGTTTTAATTTCTCCTTATTGGTTTTCTTTGGCAATCAGGAATGTGGCTTTGGATAAACAACAATCCCGTCTCCTTTGTCAACTGGAATACAGGGGATCCCTCTGCTGAGCGCAACGACTGTGTGAATTTACTTGCTTCTTCTGGGTTTTGGAATAATATCCACTGTTCCTCCTACAAAGGATATATTTGTAAGAGACCAAAAAGTAAGTAAGAAGCTTCTCATTTTATTTAAAAAGGTCTTCAGTCTTTCTAACATTTTAAAAGATTTCATACTCCCTGGTGCAATGTTGGAATCCCTTTTACTCAACTACTTTATAGCTTAGATTTCAGTGTTCCTAGCTCAGACTATATTACTTTTGTATATAATTTAAGAGTGAGTAGAATTAGGTAAGGTTTCATCTGTTGCACAGAATGCTAGTCACCATGACAGCACCGAACAGCAATAACAACAATCGGTCTCAGAAATGTAACTCAGAGGATCTCATTTTCTGATCTCTCTCTTTTTTTAAATGGTAATCATTTAGCTGTAGAATATATACACAGACATATCTTGTATTACCGTAAATCAAATGTGGAGGGTTTCATGTTATCTGTAAACTAAATAATCATTATTATCTATATGAAATTATATGAGTTCTTAAGATAAATATTTAATTTCTTTTTCCTTTCCTTTTACAGTTGTTGATGCTGAACCTACTCATACATTGATGATAACAAAAGGTATGACTGTTATTAGATTTCAAATTCTATATCTATAATAAAAAATATAGTTTAAGAACCATAATAATCCCTTCTCACTGCCCCCCACCCGCCCCAATCCTCTTAGTAAATTGCTTCTGCTACTTTACTAACATTTGGCATTATATCGCCAATTTGGAAAAACAGGCCAAGATATCAGACTAGGGTTTTTGTTTGCTTGTTGTTATGTGCCATTGTGTTGACTGTAACTCACAGTGACCCTATAAACAACAGATTGGAATCTTGCTCTATCCTTACCATCTTCAGCAATGTTTAGACTCATGGCTTGGTTTATTACAAAGAATCCTTATTTTGAGAACCGTGGAAGAAATTTCTCCCAGGAATCTTTTTGTGTTGCTTCTTTGTTTTGTTTTGTTTTGAGAAATTAAAAAAAAAATAATTATACACTACTTGAATTTGGTAACTGATCATATTACATTGGTTTTGCTGGCTGCTAAAAAAATACTCAAAGTGAAATAATGGTTTACCAGTAATCGTCTTATTAGCCTCATAGGTATTATGTATTTACTAGTTGTACTTAGGAATTGAAATTTCCACACTCTTACTTTCTCGTTTCTTTATTTTCTTTGTCTTCTATGTGAGTGCATGCTTGAGTTATTTAGGAAAAAGTTTTATATATATAAGAATTAACTAGCACAAAAACCTGATGAACTAGAAGGATGACATAATGTTGTAATTGAACAATAATCTTAGCATCTTCACTCTTTTCTGTCATGTCATGTCATGTGAAACAGATACTTATTTTTATATTTTTTGACAAATGTCAGTTGAAAGACTATATATGAAATTTGGATTTCAGAGAGTCAGTTTGCACTCTTCACCATAGCATTACACATCACATTACACATTATATTAGCTCCTTCCATCATTTTCTAATGATCTTCTTTATTAATAGCTGATACAAGGAAGATGGAGCCTTCCAAATCATCTCCCAATGTGGCAGGAGTCGTCATTGTCACCTTCCTGATTCTGGCTGGCGCCGGCTTTGCTGCATATTTCTTTTACAAGAAAAGACGTGTGCATGTACCTCGAGAGGAAAACTTTGAAAACACACTCTATTTTAACAGTAGCTCAACGCCAGGGACTAGTGATACCAAAGATCTCATAGGTAACATTGAACAGAATGAACGTGCACTCATTTAGTGTTATAATGGAATTAAAAAGTGTTTGAATTTTATAAGATTGTAACTAAAATGTTTGTTTCCTAAAAAACTAGTACTGTGCCATATACTGTGTTTTTCCCCCTTTGTCTTCTTAAATAAATAATCGCTCCTTTTCTAGCCTGGCAAGATATTTTCACAAAAGAGGGATAAAACTATTGACTGTAATGTTGAAAAATATCTTAAGCCAATGTGTGGCACATAGTGCTATCCTGTAAGCATCATGAATGTGCATTGGATATCAATTGTACGCAGCTTTTAAGAACTTTGAAACAACCAACAAAGTTGCCTGAAGTACTTTAAGGAACTTTCAAAGATAACTTGCCTATTGACACATAATTCAGTAATTAGAAGACCGTATGAAAAATGACAGACAAATGACCTCAAGTGGTGTGAAAAATAAATGACTTTCTCTTTTCCTGGTCTTCATTTATACTCCAGTGATTTCAGATTGGTTTTTTTTCATATCTAGAAAGAAAAGGCAGCAGACACCCGTGTTCTCCCTAGACAAGGTTTTACAGCCTGAAAATTGAAGATGGTTCTCAGTTCTGAAGTGTATATATCAAGAATGCAAAGATGTGAAATAAAATTGTATATCTGCACAACTGAATGTGTTTAGATAATGTGAAATAAACATCAAAGACAAGGTTTATTTTTAATAGATTTGCATTTTGGTGATCTTTGCAAGTGTTCATTTGCTTTGATATGATATTTCTTTATCTTTTTACTTAACTTTACCCTTAAATTAAGAGTAAGCCTTTCATCTCTCTGCAGGAGGGAAGCTCCTCAGATAGTGTGAATTTTTACCTTAATAGCTAGCTTAATTTCACCTAAAACACTTACTTCAGAATTAAACAATCAAAGGGATTGAAACCAAACCCATTACTGTCTAGTCAATTCTAACTTAACAACCCTATAGAACAGAATAGAACTGTCCCATAGGATTTCCAAGGCTGTAATTGTTACAGACTGGCTTGTCTTTTTCCCAAGGAAAAGATGCTGTTGTGTGCCACTGAGTTGGAACCAATCCATATCTGACCCTCCAGCAGGTTTTCAGAGGCAGTTACATGCATGGGAGGAGATTGCCCATCCTTCTCCCACCAGCAGCTGGTAGATTTGAACCACCTGTCATTAGGATTGCAGCACAGCTTCTTACCTCTAAGCTCCCCAAGGAGAGGATAGTGGGTTGGAACCACCAACCTTATAGTTAGCCGCCAAGTGCTTTAACCACTTCGGACCAGTAAAATGTAAAATTGTAGATACCTTTTTCTCCCCTTTAGAAATTCCTGAGCTTAAAACTTTTGCCTTAGATGAGGTGTCTTATACATTGTGAAATACTGTGAGCCTTTACACGGGTGTCATGTGGCTAGCTCATCCTTTTCTTTAAAAAAATTACTAATTTTTCAAAATTATGGAGCACTTCACAAATTTGTGTGTAATCTTCTCTGTATTGTTCCAATGTCAGCATATGTGTTGCTGAAGTGAGTACCAGCTCATCCTTTTGCGTTCTGGAGACTGCTTGTGAGGTTCCTAACCACACTCTTTGGTGACACTGGAGGGTCCACAAAGGCCTGAAAATTGTGCCCAAATTCTTTGGTATACTCTTTTACATTTTAATTGTGTTGTAAATTTTAAAGGAAACCAATCACTAGATTTTGAAGAAGGTCAAGAATTTTAAAAATGAAGCACCATCTTTGGTGTGAAAAGGGCATGAGAATTGAGTTGCTAACATCCTCAATTTTGCTAGGAGATAAGTAGGGAAAAATAGGAAGTCAGAGGTGGGCAGGGGTAGAAAGTTTGCTCAGCATAAATAACTTCCTTCCACACTTCAAACGATAGAAAACAAATTGCCTTTCCTTTTGCTAGAAACAAAGCATATTCCATTTTAAGAGACTCCAATGGAAACAGCTGCAGAGCTAAAACAGTATGTGGGAAGTTTGCTAAGGAAGCCTCTTTGCTTATGTATATATATTTCAATCCCCTCAAAATATAAGAGAAAATCTTAAATACTCAGTGAAGAGAAAGAACATGAGTGGGCACGGATTATAAATTTTTAACCCAACCTTTTTCCGTTATAATTCAGAGCCAGATTTTCAGAGAAGATATTTTCAACTCCAAACAACATACATCTTGGACATAACTTGTGTGATTTCAAGAACTGGTGTTCAGAAGTATGTGAATGTGATGTTTAACTCCCTAACACTATTCATTCAAAGACATGTAATCAAATACATAGGTCATTTGTATCACCATACCTTTCCAAACAGAATACTTAAAATAGCAAGGATTTGATTGGGTGGGGAGGAAAGAGCTGTTTGTTGTGTTATTTTTTTAAGACATTTTGTCTTGTTAATTTGTTGGGTTTTTTAAAATCAATAGTTCTCTATAGGGATTAAATATTTCAGTTCTGTCTGTATTCCCTGGCTTGTTGCTTTAGTTTCTCATCAAGATTCAGTAGCTGAGAGAGTCTTAAAATTAAACACAAAGTGAATGTCTCTAACTTGAAAACAAAGGTGGTTTCTGTAGAACCTGGGAGACTCTTCATTCTTCTTTGTTCCTCCCTTCAAGCATTCGCTCAGGCATCTGTTTGTACTTATCCATTAATTTATCAAATATCTCTGGGACGTTTGATGTATATGCCAGACATTGCACTAGCTCTTGGAAATTAGAAAATGGACAAGAAACAACAAATTCCACAAGGAATTCTGTCTGAGTGGACACATGCATGGACATATTACCATACAAATCAGTGAGTTTACTGGTAGAAATTTGCTACAGGGTATTAAGAGAACAATGAGAGATGCAGATAATATTATCAGCAAGGGTAAAACCTAAGTTTTGTGGAGCCCAATGATTGTAATTTTGGAGGCCCTTTTGAGAAATAAAAAAATATGTATAAAAGTAAATATATATTCAGAAGGAAAAAAGGAATTCTTCGAAATAATAATTTTTTTCTATATTTTATTAATTTTCATAAACATTTACAGAGATTTTGGGTTTCCATTCATTCATTGTTGCACTATTCTCTCTACCCTCCTCCCAGTTTGTTCTTGTCCAAATGCCACAGTGCTTGTCAAAGCCAGTTCTGATTAATCTTCTTTGTCAGTGTGTCCTTTGCCATTCCCTATCACTCCTCCCTGAGAGAGACTTCACCCTGAGTCATAAGGAAAAGGGGATGGCGTATTCTCTTAGCTACTTCCTGCTGAAAAGGGACGCTGTGGGTTTCAGGGTGAAGATCTTCTCTCACTACTCTAAAGGGCCCCTTTGGCAGTAGGAAACACATAGACTATTATGGAGATTGATTTTGGAATTTAGATGCACTCTTATTGATTGTGCTTGGCCGTACATGTTCATATCCTTGAAGATGTATCATGGGGGTGTTGCAACCTAGAAGACACAAATTTGACTAACAAGTTATAAGTAAATAACCATTTTTTAAGAAGATATCTTTTGAAAGATATCACAAATTGAGAAAATGACATTGTTTTTAGTAATTAACTTTCTGATATACTTTCAGAATGCATTTTTTTTTATTAGCCTTTGGATGGCAGTTATTGTTGTTAGGTGCCACTGAGTTGAGCACGACCCATAGTGACCTATGAACAACAACTGATGTGAGCTGTCCTATCTTGAGCCATGCTCATTATCTCTGACATACTTGAATCTGTTGCAGCTGTCAGTGTGTCAGTCCATCTGGTTGACCATCTCTTTTGTTGACACTTCGTCTATTCAAGCATGATGTCCCTCTCCAAGGAAAGGCCTCTACTAGTAACATTCTCAAAGGATGTGAAATGAAGCTTTGCCATCCTTGCCTCCAAGGAGCCCTCTGGCCGCACCTTCTCCAAGACTCAAGTTTGTTCTTTTGGCAGCGCATGGGATATTCAGTACTATTCCTGAGCACTACAAACTCAAAGGTATCGATTCTCCCCACCATTTATTGTCCAGCTCTCAGATGGATAGCTACTGATTGAAAAGACTATGGCCTGAATCAGGCACACTTTAGTCTCCTAACTAAGGTATCATTGCTCCTTTGGAGAAGTCCCTGACTGCAGACTTTGCCAAGTGTGACAATACTTTTTGTCATATTATTTTTGTAGTATTATATAATTTTGTAATATTATTTGTAGGTGGTGTAGAAAGATAATTCAGCCTTTAGCCTGTTGTTTGTTGTTATTTGCCCTCAAGTCAGAACCAACTTGTAGCTCACCCTCCAGCAAGTTTTCAGAGACTGTAAATCACATGAAAGGAGATGGTCCATCTTTCCCTTATTAGGGATTCGCACTGCATGCCTTTGGGTGGGCAGGCAGCTCATTAGCACTGGGCCACCATTGCTTTAGAATCATGGATTAGATGTTCTTTGAAAACTTTATTTAGAAAAATTCTTTAAACTCTATGTTATTGGTAATGTAGCATAAATGATTAAAATTTACATTACAAATTTCTTTATAAGCAGACCACTCATGTTGACTTTTTTGTACAATGAATACTGTCAAATAGTTTTGAATTTGGTGATGTTCATATAAATAAGTTTGTTGACACCATTTTGGGGTTTTCCATGTTAGTAAGTTTTGGTGACTTTAGTATTTTGGGTCAAATCAGCTAGAAATTGAAATAATTTTCCAGTGTACTCATGATTAATTTCTCAACATTAGGAGCCTCCAGAGCTCCCTGTGATATTGCACTATATATGACCCTTTAACTATAACTTCTAAAAAAATACAGAATGTTTCAATGAAACGGTTGAGAGATTTGGTGATAGATGTTGGCAGAATTGAATGTACATAAAATGTTTACTTATTTTCTAACCTTTAAATTTATTTATTAAAGAATTATAATAAGATGCAAGCAAAATTATTGTTGTTGTTGTTGTTGTTATGTGCCATCGAGTCGTTTCCGACTCATAGCGACCCTATGCACAACAGCCCTAAACCCTGCTCTATCCTGTGCCAACCGCACCGCCTCTGACACACCCATCCCGATTAC